AAACCTAAGCTACGCAAAACGTATTAATAATCGAATTAACTATTAATATAAATTATGTTTTCCGAGGACTATGAAAAAGGTCCTCGGAAGTTGCTATATATCTGTATTTTTGTCCTCGGAACATATAGCAATGCAAGTACACACACACACACACACACACCTCCACACAAACATACAGACACACTAACTGCAAAGACTCCCTTTTTGTGCTTTGCACACGGGGAGTCAAAAAAGATCAAAGAAAGCTTAGAAAGAACTCCCATGTGCTGAGAGTATTGGAGACACATTAAATATAATTTGAAATTACTTAGCTGAAAACTAATTATGCAAATCAGAAAATTAACATGAACAGATTTGATTGTAAAACTAATGAGGTCTACGCAATGTAACAAAAACTCTATGTACCAAGTTTAATTGAAATGTGATTAGAACCAAAAATATTATGATTTATTATGCTAATTGGGGAAATAATATAAACAGAGTTTTACCCCAAACTAATTAGGTTTGTACATTGTCCTAGAGCATCTTTGTACTAAGTTTCATTAAAATGGAAATTAGTACTTTAGATATCAGTGTGAAAGTTTAAAATTGGTTAATTATGCAAATTGGGTAATTAATATGTACAGATTTTAACCCACAATTATCCAGGTCTGTCTATTGTCCTACAGTATCCATGTATAAACATTCACTGATATATGATGATTACTATAAAAACCTGCAAATAAGCGCCACCCTCAATTAAGAGCCACTCAGTGAAAATTTGTTACATTTGACCCTCCATTAAGAGCCACCAAGAGTTGAGTGGTTTTGTCAATAAGAACCCAGAAATAAGTGCCAGCCACCCGGTTGTTTACAATCAGGCAGACACCGAGCTTATCGTGCCTCACTTCCACCTGCATTGTTTATTGCCCCACAGAAGGTGTGAGACAAATAAAGATTATCCCCATAACTTGCCTGATGTCCTGTGTAATTGAGAACAGAAGAATGATAGACGAAAGAAATGCACTGAGAGCGTGAATGTGACTGTCAACTTGTCCATTTTATATTTCTGACACACAATCGACCAATTCACAAACTATTCATAGTAACTACTAGTATGTTTTTTGCCGAAACACCGAAGGACACGTTGAGATATTCATTGTCAATGTGTCTTTATAACCAAGTAAAGAACGTCACGATTTTAGAACGCCTTTATCGGAAGAACGGAGGTATCGAAAATACATTCTCACAGACGGACCGGAACAGGAAGTCAGCAGAAAACAAAAGATAATCCGGTCATGGCAACGTTTGAGGGATCGTGACGTAGCTCCGACTGTGAGAATGTAATGATTATGCAT